GGCTCCTCCCACCTCCTCCCCATCTCAGCCCGCCCTGGCCTCACTGCTGCTCCAGTGCCCACGTGGTGGAGCTTGTGGATGCTTCCAGTTCATTGCTCACCCAGGTTTTGGCGTGTCTGTGGCTTCTCAGCTTTTCTGAGTTAAACGTGGCTTTGCAGAGATCTGACTGCCCTATCCAAAACCACCCATGCTCTCACCTACTCTGGTTCTTTGCTTCTGCATAAGATTTATTCCAATTTAAAAAAACTTTATCTTCATTGTGACTTTCTGTTTTGTTCTAGCCCTTCTAACAGGATGCATACTCAATGAATTGAGTACAGTGTTTACTTTTGTAGACAGAGTTCCTGGCCTAGAACAAGTTAACAGGTATTCATCAAATGAAAGCAAGAGCCAGGCCTGATGCACTGAGCTGAAAGGAAATACATAAAACAAGTCAGAACAAAGTGGAAGGAGTCACTCTATCCAATTTCAAAACTTAATCTATAGCTGCAGAAATGAGAGTTGTGCCGTACTTGTGGCAGGCAGACACTCAGGTCAGTCGGGCATCTACAGGCAAAAAGAAAAGGAATGGAAAGAGGATTGACCTAAACCCCACACCTAATACATCCATTCTCAACGGGTCAGGACTTAAATTTAAACTAGAAAACCAGAAAGCCTTTCAAAATCAGCACAGGAGAGAGTGTCTGAGATCTGGGTCCTGGCAGAGTTCTTAGACTTGATGCCACAAGCAGGATTCCCAGGACAAGAAACTGATGAACTGAATCTCCTCAAAATTAAACATTTTGCTCTGCAAAAGCCCATATGAAGAGGATCAAAAGACAAGATACAGATCAGGATAAAGTATATTTGCAAAGAACAAAAAAGGAGCAGTACTTTAACACAGACTTCTCACAACTCAACAGTTAAAAAAAAAATTCAGTCAGAAACTGGGAAAAAGGCATCAACAGACATTTCACTGAGGAGGGTGCACAGATGCCAAGAGGGGTGTGGAAACATGCCCCAATCCTCAGCCATTAAGAAAACACACATCAAACGCGCAGTAAGCTGTGACCACACACCTGTCAGAATGGCTAAAATTAAAAACATAAAATAGTGATAACATGGAACGCCGGTGAGGATGCAGAGACTCTGCAGCAGTCGGAGCATGTGGGGCAGGGGGAGAGGGTGGGGGTGAGAGGGGAGGCGGAATTGCAGAACCTCTCTGGAAAGCATGTGATGATGATAAGGCCCAGCCAGTGCACTGGGGACCATTTGTCCTGAAGAAATGAAGACTTAAGTTCACAAAAAAGCCTGTAGAATATCTGGGAAACTGTCCTAACCAGGAGAAAAACTACAATGTCTTTTTACCTTTGTATCATCAATACAGAGACCAATGTCTTGAAGTGGTGTCTGTAAATGCTTGCAGCATGAAAGACTTGTTTAAAATAATGAATATGGGTGAAAGCCCTGAGGACCTGCAATGTACTGCGTGCTTCTGATCCAGGCCTCACAGCACCCTGGAAAGATACTTACAGTCAAGTTTATGATGGGTGAAATAAAGCCCCTTGCCTAATGCGACAGACAGTGACCATCTGCTCTGGAGTCAGCGGCTGGTGAGTGCAGCACTCACGCACCGTCTCTACCCAGCCCAGCACTCAGCCTCGGCACTAGGAGGTCCTCAGAAGTGATGGAAGCAAATATAAAGCAAGTGGTTTACCACGAAGGAAAGTAAGTTATCATCAAGGTCAAACAGCCTCAGACATGCATAATCCTGGCAAAAGGCTTAGGGTAAGGCACGATGTTTCCCCACTGGGTTCGAAGAAAAAGCACAGGTTCTTCACTGACATGGTTCATTCTGAGAATGCAGTTTCCCTTCCTGATGCTGCTGACTGCTCCATTTAGGAAGATCCCTTCCTTGACTTAGAAAGCTGTCAGTGTGCACAAAGCAATGCTGTCTACTCTTTGTTTTTTATTGCATTTTAGGTTTTGGGGTACATGTGAAGAACATGCAAGATTGTTGCATAGGTACACACATAGCAGTGTGATTTGCTGCCTTCCTCCCCTTCACCTATATCTGGCATTTCTCCCCATGCTATCCCTCCCCAACTCCCCACCCCCCACTGTACCTCCCCCATTTCCCCCCAACAGACCCCAGTGTGTGATGCTCCCCTCCCTGTGTCCACGTGTTTTCATTGTTCAACACCCGCCTATGAGTGAGAACATGCGGTGTTTGATTTTCTGCTCTTGTGTCAGTTTGCTGAGAATGATGGTTTCCAGGTTCATCCATGTCCCTGTATGCCCAAAAGAACAGTGTGAGAAGTAATAAGATCCTGACTATATGCTCTTTGGTAGATGGTGACACATAAATACAGAGTCACTTCCCATTTGCCCCTTTCTGTAGAATATAGCCCTTCACTGACCTCTGTTCCTCAGCAGTGCCTATGTTATTTAAGTAGGAATATGCCACTACATCTTGTTGATAAGTTCTTATTGCTAAAGCTTAAATAGATTTGTCTGTTTTCTTAGCATAATAATACCTGCAGTGTAGAAAATATACACAGCGCTCTCTAAGCACTAGATCAGTTTCACCTCTGTTATAAAATCTCACGGTGCCCGCTTTTGTTTTTGAGGCAAGGTCTCGCTCTGTCAGCCAGGCTGGAGGGCAGCAGTGTGATCACGACTCACTGCAGCCTCAACCTCCTGGGTTCACGCGATCCTCCTGTCTCAGCCTCCTGAGAAGCTGGGACTACAGGAGCATGCCACCATCCCTGGCTAATTTTTTTCTTATTTTTTTGTAGAAACTGGGTCTCAGTATGTTGCTTAGGTTGGCATGCTTATTCTTTTGGTCAAATGCCTGGTTGTTAAATTGATGGGTATGTGGTGGGAACCATGCTGAAGTTTCTAATGATTCCAAACATCTTCTGTCAAAACTGTGCACTAACCTTTGTTCCAGCATGGCAACCCCTGAAGCAGCGGGTGATGGAGGCTGTTCCCCTCTCCCCACACAAGGTGTTTTCATCTTCCACTTTTCAGTCTTCAGTATGGCACGAGGGTCACTATCATGTAGCCATGTTCCTGCTGTCCTCCTGTCCTAATGGGCTCATAGTTAATGTCCAACCATGTGGATGACAGTCACCAGCTGACACCCAGCGGGTTGATATTGACGCCTCTTCCTTCTCTTCCTCCTCCTCATCCTCATCCTTGTCTTGCCCCTCCCTGCATGTTGTTATGACAAAATTATACTCAATGCAGTGTGACCTTGTGAAGTAACCAATATAATAAATGGGCTGAAAAATCCAATCTAATCTACAGATGACCAATCAAAGCACACAAACTTTTCAAGCCAACATTTATAACTCTTCAATGAGAAAAGTTTTATTGGCAAAAGACCTTTGGCAAAAAATTCAATAATGCTCATATTCACTTCATTTTCCTGAGGAAATAAAGACAGCGTACATAAAGGCATAAGCATTCCCACAATCTAACCTGAGCCTACCGCTGGTAATGAATCAGTATTCTGCTAAGTCTCCAAACTTCTAAACCGTAGAAAAGGCCAAAATTTAGGATTGCAAATAAGTTTTCCCACTGCGTTTTGAAAAAAAGAATTCACCCCTGTAAGCATGAACGGCATAGAAGGCCTTTGTGACAGAGCCACCGTTTAATCCCCAGTGTCCTCTCGGTGACAGTGCCTGCTGCCCCTCCTCCACCCAACACATGAACCCCAGCAGCCATGTCCTGATGAGCAGCTTCTTGGGATGGTCCACCCCCTTCCACCCTCTATCCCACACCTATCACCTCTTTCTTTGAAGAAAGAGTCATTTCAGACTCCAACTAGAATAGGGGGTTCTTCAGGAACCCCCCCACCCCCAGGGTCTCCCTTCCTTTTTCTTCATCCTCAGGACTCGCTAACCACTGGGTGGGCCTCCACTTTTCCTCCCCTTCTCCCCTCTTCCCCCCACTTCCCCTCCTCCCCAGGGCTCACTGACCTCTGGGTGGGCCTCCCCCTCCT